GGTTGTTTTCTGCCTCCGGCTCTTCATTCCTGGGTGATTTCTGACCCCTGCTGGCTCTGGTCAGCATGGCATGGCCCTGATGGATGGGCGGGAGCTGGCAGGGTGGATCAAGGAACCCCAGATTGCTGACCTGGGTCCTGAATGGAGGTAGAAAGCTTGACAAGACAGGAGGGCCCTCACTCAGTAGCCAGAATTTATTGGGCATCAGAGACCTCCTACCCTCTAGCTCCTAGTCTTCTCCTTTCTTTAAAAAATATATTTTTATTGATTTTAGCGAGGAAGGGAGAGGGAGAGAGATAGAAACATCAATGATCAGAGGGAATCATTGATCGGTTGCCTCCTGCAGGCCCCACACTGGGGATCAAGCCCACAACCCAGGCATATGCCCTGACCGGGAATCGAACCGGGACCTCCTGGCCACGCCAGCCGGGCGCTCCTAGTTCAATGGTTCTGCAGACAGTGGGGGCTCTGTGTGGGCTTGAAGTTGGGGAGGGATATGTTGAGAGCAGCGGAGAGCAGGACGGCCATCTGGGGGTGTCTCAGCCTGGGCTGACCCTGAGCTCAAACCGACATCCCTGGGGATCCAAGATCCACACACGTTTGCAAAGTTTCCCATTCACAGAACCCTCTTCCTTTTACATCCATGTCCTTGTCTGAGTCCACGCAGAACTGGATTGCTCTTGTTTCACTCACCAGGAACTGGGAATGCAGAAACAGACAGCGGCATGCCATGTGCCCTGACTGGGAATTGAACCGGGACCTCCTGGCCATGCCAGCTGGGCACTCCTAGTTTAACGGTTCTGCAGACAGTGGGGGCTCTGCGTGGGCTTGAAGTTGGGGAGGGATATGTTGAGAGCAACGGGGAGCAGGACGGCCATCTGGGGGTGTCTCAGCCTGGGCTGACCCTGAGCTCAAACCGACATCCCTGGGGATCCAAGATCCACACACGTTTGCAAAGTTTCCCATTCACAGAAGCCTCTTCCTTTTACATCCATGTCCTTGTCTGAGTCCATGCAGAACTGGATTGCTCTTGTTTCACTCACCAGGAACCGGGGATGCAGAAACAGACAGCGGCATGGCCAGATGCTGCGGGGGGTGGAAGGGGGGGCCTTCTGGGCTCTGTGGCACAGGGTCGCAGGATCAGGCCCTGTCCAGTCCTTTCGCTGGAGCCGGGGAGTTGCAGTGAGGTCTCCTCTTGGCTTTTGGTGGCAGGAATGGACCTGCAGTGTGAGAGCGAGGGCACCTGCTCCCTCCCAGCCCCTGACTGGAGCCAGGGTGGTGGGCAGGGATGCCTTCCCTTCTCTGTTTGCCCCCTGCCACATGAGCTCTCCCACCCATTCAGCTTGGGCTTAGTTTCTGCACCCATGAGACAGTCAGCTCTGGTGGCTTTAGAGTAGAGGAGGTGGGGGGCAGAAGGTGCAGGAGGCTGTGTGACCCTTAAAAAGTTGCTGAGCCTCTCTGGGCCTCAGTGTCATCATCTGTGAACAGGGATAATGAGAGGGTTTGGGGGAGGGCTAAGTGAGCCAGAAGGGGTGTTACCCCTCCTTTACAAAAGCTGTTTTGGAGACAAGGCGGCTGTGAGGCAAGGCTGACCATCACCAATGTCAAGATCCTGTCCACCTTTCAGAGACCCCAGAATCTGTAACTGGGGTGGGGTCATGGGGCTCTCTGGCTGGTCTGAGCTCAAGCTGGGGTCTGCCCCGTTCTGGCCAGGTGCTGGGGGCTCTAGTGATGTCTCCCAGAGCGGGGCCTTGGTAGACAGCACGTGAGGCCTCTCAGCCAGCACCCAGAAGCTGTGGGCCATGGTGACCCTCTGCATGTGCAGTAGGGCTGGCCTCTGGTCTGGTGGCTGAAGCCCCTGCCCAGCGCTGTGAGGCCTGCAAGGACTGTGGGCGGGAACTAGAAGGACGGGATCCAGGCAGGAGCCAGATGGCATTATGGGCTGGCTGCTGGCTGTGCGGGCTGGGGATTTACACTGCGTCCAGGAGGGCAGGGCGTGGGGATCCAGTTTCGATGGCCAGGTGGCCGTGTCTTCATTTCTCTCCCCCCTCCCACGCCACCCTTATCTCTGTAAATCTGCCTGTGTCTCCCCATGTGCTTCTGGCCTTCTCTTCCTCTGACTCCTTATAAAATATTAAACTTTTCATATAATATTAAATGTAAAATATGAACAATTCTACCTCTCCTTGTGAAATATTAAAATGAGAATAGGCTAACAGGCTCCTTTGACCACTATCTTCAATCCGAGGTCCTTCCAGATCTTTCTCTATACATTTAAAAGCATAGAAACATAAGATATTTTAAAAATGTATTATTTTAATTGAATGGTATTGTACCGTATGTATCGTGATAAACTTGTGTTTCCCTGTGCAATCTGTCACAGGCCTCCGTGAGCATGTCTTAGTGACCTGTCACTGCCTAACAAACTCGGTGGCATAAAACAATTTATTATTTCTCACGATTCTGTAGTTTGGCTGCAAAGTCCCTCCTGGGTTAACTTGGGAGGCCCAGACGCCTGCAGGGTTCCCCAGAAATCCTGAAGCCCTCATAGTGCACAGGCATGTGGTGCTGGCTGTCGGCTGGGGGGCCTCAGTGCTCCTCCATAGGGCTGCCCAGGCTCCAGAAAGCTGGTCCAGCTTCCTTGTGTCAGGGCAGCATTCCCAGAGGACACAGGCGGAAGCCACAAGGCCCCTGAGTTCCCACACTGTCATTTCTGCCTTATTCTTACCAGCAAATCAAGCCCCCAGAATCCAAAGGTTGGAGAGATAGACCCCCTCCCTTGCTGGGAAGAGCTGTGCACGATTTGTGCTTGTATTTAAACACCCTGCACAGAGAGCTCAATGTCGTTGTAAAACGTTGCTTTGTAGTTGTTGCAGGAACCCGAGTTTGTACAGCAGATCCCCCAGGGATGGGCAGCTAGGTTATTTCCAATCTTTTACAAACTAGGTCAAAGCGACTCTCTAGGGTGGATATGGTTCAATGGCAGGATCTCATCTTATCTCCCTTTCTGGGGAGTTCTGCCTGAGCCCCCCAAAAGGCAGGTCTTCCCCCCCGCCCCCAGCATTCTGCTCTCATTTTCAGACTTCAACACAAAGCTTTGTGCTCTTAACCCCTCACACAACTACAGCCTGGTGCCTACCCACAGAGTGGATATGCAATGCCTTTGCTTGAACTTAAGAGAGAAAGAACTAGACCTCAGAAAGGTTGGGGCACTTCCTCTAAGCCACACAGCAAATGGTGGGAGGAGATCTGAGCCCAGACTCGGTGGCTACTGAGGGCAGCTTTTGCCCTCATCAGTTTGCTGGGAGGTGAGGGGGTCAGTGGAGAGTGGTCTGGAGCCTGGGGCTGCTTTGAGGGGCACACCTGTGGGGCAGCGGGTGCCAGACACAAGCCTTGCTTCCTCTGTGACAGAAGCTCGGGGCTGGAAAACCAGGTGTCCCTCTGTCCTGGCCCCTGCTGCCCAGAGGCTCTAATGAGCTTAGTTTCTGCAGCCATGAGACAGTCAGCTCTGGTGGCTTTAGAGTAGAGGAGGTGGGGGGCAGAAGGTGCCCCTCTGTCCTGGCCCCTAATGAGGTCTAATTAGCCTGCAAACATGCCACTCGCCACCCCATCCCACCCCGGGTTGAGCTTCCAGTCTTGCTTCCTCTGTGACAGAAGCTCGGGGATGGAAAACCAGGTGTCCCTCTGTCCTGGCCCCTGCTGCCCAGAGGCTCTAATGAGGTCTAATTAGCCTGCAAACATGCCGCTCTCCACCCCATCCCACCCCGGGGTTGAGCTCCTGAGCCCTCTGACCCTAAGCTCTCAGGTCTGTCTCAGCCTGGGTCTTGGCCTCGGACAGGGCAGGCTGGGTGTGCAGAATGAACAGACCAGAGGCCTGGGCTCAGTCTCTCCATGGTGTGGCCTCCCTGTCCCCCAATTGTCAAATGAACAGAGGGAATCTTCCCGACATCGAGGCAGAGGTTTGGATGTTGTCATGCTGGGCGTGCCCAGGTTCTAGGTCACAGCCTTCCCTGGGGGTGCAACCCACCCACAGCTAGGCTAGCACCGCCAGTGCCCAGCGATTGGAGGCGTTGGCTCTGGAATGAGGCCTCTAATAGGGACTGGAGGAGGTGGGCAGGGCCAGATGGCAGGAAGGATGAGCATGTGTGCGAGCTGGCCCCTGGGCCCCTAATTCCCAGCAGCTGGGTCTGGCCACAGCAGAGCCCAGATCCCGAGATTAGGAGGGAGCCAGCGGTTTGTTTATCTGGTGGCTATGACGAACAGGTAGCCATCCAGCTGCCACTTCCTGTGTGACCCTAGCTATTAGTGAATGGATTGCCAGCCTGTAATTCCCAGGCTCAGTCCTGCTGTCACTCAGGCATCGTACTATGGGGGACAGTCTTAACAAGGACAATTTATGAAACAGGAGCCAGGAAAAGCCCTGCTTTTAGGAATGGGACACTGAGGGGGCATTCATGAGCATGACCACTGAGGGGACCAGCCGAGGAGAGGGTTGGGGTGGAGTCCTGGGCTGAGAGGAGCAGGGGGAAGGCCCTGGGTGGGCTGGGGCTGGACTGAGGGGAGGTGAGAAGAGGGTCAGGAGAACTTGGAGGCTGCAGGACTGGGCTGAGGTCCACACTCCATCTGCGTTGTTCTTTGTGAGAATGAAGCTGTAAGCAGGGACATGAATGGAAGGCCCTGGTTTGGGGACACTCAGGATCGCATATGGAGGCACTGAAGGGACAAAGCCGAGGAGCAGAGACAGCTGCTGGGATCTGCCTGCTGCGAAGGCTGGTGGCTGGTACACCCTCCTGGAACCACGGGCTGGCTTGGGATGTCTGCACCTGGCTCCAGCCTCACAAGCCCCTGTCCCCCGCCTGGACGGTGCGTGCTCAGTCATCTTGGAAAGCCCCAGTCCCCATCACTGACCACGGCTGGCGTTTGGCAACTCAGCTGGACTGATCCCTGTGACCAAGCTTTGCCAGAACATCAAGGCTGAAAGCAAGATTCTGGGGCTCCTGGAAATGAGAGATTTGCAATTTTATTAAGAAAACAAAAAATAACCTATACAAAAAGGAAAGTTCCATTTCTGTGGGCAGCATTTAAGGCAGGAGGGACAGCTCCAAGTCTGACGGCATCCGTGTCTGTGCCCTCCCCGCCTACTAGGCCTCCTGCTGCTGGATGAAGGGGTTGGGAATGGCCTCCATGCCATCCTGCGGGCAGATGAGCACCACTGAGGTGCCCCTGCACACCACCAGGCCCAGCTGGCGGGTGTCCTCTGTAAGCTTGTATTGGTCATCAGGGTCTGCGGAGGAAGAGAGGCAGGAGTAAGAACTTGAGACCATGCCTGGGGCAGGACGGGGTCTGAAGATCTGAATCAAAGGGTCCTCTGATGGCTTCCCCCATCCCTCCATCCAGGACTTTGGAGGGGACATGCTGGCCAGGGCAGCAGGCCAAACGCCTCCCAAAGCCAGACATGCAGTCCTTCTCCCTGCAGTGGCCCATGGACGAGAAGAGTTCTGGAAACCACCATCTGAAGCCTGCCCTCATTCTGCAAATGAGTACACGGAGGCCCAGGGGACCGCAGGGATGCTGGGTAGCGAAGCTAATTGGGGGCACCGGCACCTGAGCCAGCGGAGACCCTGGGGCTATGTAATCAGACAGGCAGCTGGAACACAGATTTGTGAAAGCCGTGCGGGGCCGCTGTTCACCCGTGTTCACCCGTGTCCAAGGTGTGTAACAGCAGAGCGAGAGGGACCCCATGGAAGTGACAGTAAGTTCCAGGGGAGCTCTTCTGAGGTCACAGCGACTGGAAGTCCCCATTGCTATTACTGAAGGATGTGGGGGAGGGGAACCAGGTGGCCCAGTGAAATCAGAGACCCCATCTGAGAGGCAGCCGTCCACCCTCAGAGCCTGCAGGGACAACAGCTGTGTGAGCCTGACCTTCCCATACCCTATGCATTCGGGCCTCCCTGAGGGGCTGTCCTGGACTGAGAGGAGGGGACACAGACTTGCTCAGCAAGTGAGGCAGCACGCTGGTAGGAGAGGCCCTGTAGAAGGCGCAGCAGCCACACCTCCCGGGGCCAACCGCTTGAGCTGGCCTGGTTTCCCCACCGGCCCCAGGTGGTGGGCCTGTCTTATAGACAAGGAATTCATCCATCCAGGGTGGCAGGGCTGGGACTCTGGGTGGACCCAGGCAGGAAGAGAAAAAATGAGGGCACAGCAAGAGGCCTCCTGGAGTTTACCAACTGAGCTGACCATGTTTCTGCTCGGTGGCCCAGTGACACTCTTGTGTGGCTGTGATAACTTTTCACCAGAGCAACTTGTGTCTCAGGCATTAATGGTCCCGTGAGGAACAAGACCCCCCTTCCTCCCTCCTAGGTGTTGGCATCCCCTTAATGCCTGGATCAGGCTGAGCTGAAGAACTTGTTGGCTGTCCTGGCAGGTGTGCTCAGTGGTCAGAGCATTGGTCCATGCACTGAAAGGTTGTGGGTTCAGTTCCCAGTCAAGGGCATGTACCTGGGTTGCAGGTTTGAATCCAGGCCCCAGATGGGGAGCATGCCGGAGGCAACCAATTGATATGTCTCTCACATCCACGTTTCTCTCTCTTCTCTTGTCCTCCCATCTACTCTCTAAAAATCAATGGAAGCATGTCCTTGGGTGAAAATTAACAAAAAAACAAAAAGAACTCGTTGGCTAATGGGTCAGGGATGGCCTGACTGCTGTGTACTGCTGCAGGTGGAGGGTCTTGAGATTTAGGGGTACAGGGACTGGGGGCATGGTATAAGGGGAATGGGACCCTTTGTCAGCTGCAGGAGTAACACATGGGAATGGCAGGAGACAGTGGGCTGACCAAGCCCTAGAGTAGGTTGGCATTTCTTTTTTCTAATTTGTTGATTTGAAAGAAACACATCAATTTGTTGTTCCACTTAGTTATGCATTCATTAGTTGATTCTTGTATGTGCCCTGAGTGGGGATCGAACCTGCAACCTTGGTGTACCGGGACGATGTTCTAACCAACTGAGCTACCCAGCCAGGGCCAGTTGGCATCTTTCTAACCAAGCCAGGCAGCAAGTGACTCAGGATCAGTAATGGTGGATTAGCAAAACACCCCCAACATCCCTGAAGTCTCTGAGAGGATGGTGTAGTGAGCTTGTCTGCAATGCTGGGACAGTGACAGAGTAAAGATATATGGCAGCTGTCTGGTCTACAAGGACCACATTTACCATTCGGACGGCAGGTCTGGAGCAGTAAGGAAGGCCCCGCAAGTCCTGGAGGCCTCCAAGTCCTGCTGGCTGCACTCACCTCTCATGTATTCGATGGTGCCATCAAGCACAAGGTTGAGGAGTGGGTCAAACCCTTTCAGGATTCCACTGGCTTGTAGGAATCACCAAGAAGAGAAGAGAAATGGAAAGGTGTAAGATCAACAGTGGTTCAGGGGGCAGCTACCAAATGTCACTAAATTGCATACCTTAAAATGGTTAATTTTGTGATGTGAACTTTACCTCGGAGTGGTTAGGCCCGTGGACCAAGGGTTTCGAGCTCGATTCCTGGTCAAGGGCACCTGCCTAGGTTGCAGGTTCAAACTCTGGCCCCGGATGGGGCTTGATTGGGAGGCAACCAATCGATGTGTCTCTAACACATTGATATTTCTCTCTCTCTCTTACCCTCTCCCCCTGTCCCTTCCATTCTCTCTAAAAATCAATGGAAAAAATATCCTCACTCCTCAGGTGAGGATGAAAAAAAACTGAACAACAACAAAAAACCCCAAGCATCATAGGTTATGGTTCCTTGACCAAGTGACGTATCTTTGCACCCAAGAGGGGGGTGAGCCCCCAGTGCCCCGACAGGCCATCCATGCTTCCTGCCCATTGCTGCCTCTCCCAACTATTCTCTCTGGCCTGCAGACCTTCACACTCATTTGTGCTTCTGCTTGTGATGCTCCAACTCCCACCCCTCTTTTCCAACTCCTCTCTTCGCCCGGTGCAGGAAATACCCAACTATGGGCAGATACCCAACTCTGTGTGCCCATTTCCCCTGAAAGGCAGGGACTAGGCACTGTACTCAACTCCTCTCTTCGCCCGGTGCAGGAAATACCCAACTCTGTGCCCATTTCCCCTGAAAGGCAGGGACTCGGCACTGTACGGCCTTCTCCTCACTGGACTCCAGTGGCAGATGCAAAGTTAAAAACCATGTTTACACATAAAGCTGCAAACTGTGACAGGCACTACCAGGAAATTATAACAGCGGCCTCAGGGAAGGTGGAGGGTCAGGGAAGGTTTCCCAGAGCCAAAACCTTGAGTTGAGAGCAGGGAAATGACTCTGGCAGTTAACCTGGTAACAGCACTCCAGGCAGAGAAAACATGTACCTTTATAGCCCAGTGGCAGATGAGAGCCCCATTAGTTACTCAGAGGCACCAAAGGTTTGTATTTACCCTGGACAAGGGGGAGCCCCCAGAGGGCTGAATAGCAAACAAGAATTGATGTTTTTAACAGGTCCCTCTGGCCCATATGTGGAGATTGACTGTTGGACTCTGGCCTCAAAGGGGCAATTCTGCCCCCCAGGGGACACTGGGCGATGTCCGAGACATTTTGGTTGTCAAAACTAAGGGATACTGCCAACATGCCGGCCCGCATGGCTCAGTGGTCGAGTGTGGACTTATGAACCAGGAGGTAAAGGCTCAATTCCCTGATGGGGCACATACCCGGGTTGCAGGCTTGATCCCCAGTGGGGGGTATGCGGGAGGCAGCCAATCAATGATTCTCTCTAGGTGCACGAATCTGTGCACCAGGCCTCTAGTATGCATATAAGATCTTTGGTTAATCTCTTCTTGTCCTTTCCCCTTCCCCCTCCCCCCTGAGATTCATCAGTCTGTTCCATGTTTCCATGCCTGTGCATTGAGCATCTGCCCCCTGGTGGTCAGTGCACGTCATAGCTACAGGGTCAAACGGTTGTTTAGGCTGTTATATATACCAGGTATAGACTAGAAGCCCAGTGCATGGATTCGTGCACTGGTGGGGTCCCTTGGCCTGGCCTGTGCTCTCTTGCAATTGGGGACCCCTCTGGGGATGTCGAACTGCAGGTTCCAGCCCAATCCTGGCAGGGGCTGAAATCAGCAGTCCAACATCCCCAAGGGATGTAGCAGTATGCAAAGCAGGTGGCCGGGGAGGAGCCCAAGCTGGGGCCGGGCACTGCTCCGGCTCATCCATGCCTTGCTATGCCTGCCGCTGCTGCAGCTGTGCTCACCAGCCCAGCTATGAGCCAGGCTTCTGGCTGAGCAGCGCTCCTGCTGTGGGAGTGCACTGACCACCAGGGGGCAGCTCCTGCGTTGAGCATCTGCCCCCTGGTGGTCAGTGTGCATCATAGCTACCAGTAGGCTGGTCCAGGTCGGTGGAATGGTTGACTGGTAGTATAGGCTTTTATATACATACTAG